TCCTGCTGATCCCTGATATCCCTAAGGAAAAGAAATAAAGACTTGTGACTTTTTGTAAGTTATATTTGAAATTTCCAAACATCTGTTTAAGGAAAAAACAATTCTCCTTGTTACTAGATAACTGTTACAACTCTGTCATTTTAGGTCACAAATTTTAGTAACTGCTATCACAATCATATATTTGAGATTTAGATTTTGGCTTTCAGAAGCTTTCATCTCTGCATCTGAATTTTTCAGCCTCTAGACTAAGCTAAGATTAGTTATTTTAGGACTGTTATATGAGAATGTAATAATAATGTTGTTTTAGTCCTGACCGGGAAAAAAAGAAACAAACAAAAAATCCAACTAAGAACAAATTAACCCATACGCATAGACACTTTCTAAAGATCTCTCTCAAGAGAAAGAGCTGAAAAAAGGCAGGATTTTTAAAGGCTTATTGTCAGTTACAGGAATAAGCTTTAACAAACAAGGCATGTTCTAATACATTACACAACTAATTTTGTAATATCTCTAAATAATAAAAGTACCATTCTCAATACTAAGCACTTAGCTATGTACTTGAAGGTATATAACAGGCTATACAAGTAAAAAAATAATCTGAATGACTGTGACTACAAAAAGAAATACTAAATCCATGAGTTTAAAAGAAAGTTTCAGGAATGCTTTACTAGAAATCAACACTGGTAGAACAAGAGACTCTTTACAGAACCCAGAATATGTGCCTGAGATGTTTTGGTAGATTGGATTCAGTAAGTGCAGCAAAGAGAGCCAGTTTTAATGCAAAATTAACAAGTGGTTTAGAAGAATCCTTTAACAGAGGGAAGTAACTGAAGAATAGGAATTTTCTCAAGCTCCATTTCTCTACCTTGTGTCCATAAAAATATGTCATTCCAATGGACAAAATGAGCTACAAGGAGGGTTTTTTTTAGAAAATGGATACAGGAACAGAAATTGTCCTATAGAGCTCTGAGGCTATTTGGCTCAAACCTTTCAACAGGCAGCCCTAACTAAATTTGAAAAAATCCCATAAAATTGACTATCCAGTTTCAAATACCCAGAATCTGATCTTGATTTGAATTGAAAGAACCAATTATTCTATTCCTAAATGTGTTTCATTCTTAAAAACTAAGCACAAAGTTTAATAAGTGGATTTCCACAGAGGTAAAAAAGAGCTAACAGAACCTTTTCAATACAAGAAAGGCAATGGGTATGTCTGATTTGTTCTTCAAATCAGTCAGAGATTCCAGGGAATATTAAACAGAGCTATAATTATTTGCTGGGTTAGATACAAGACAGTACTTGCTGTGCCTTCTTGCCAAAAGACATTTGAGCAGGTGCCTGACAAGTCAGCTGTTAATGTTTAGTACAGAAGTAAACAAAATTCTAAGTCTCTGACACACACAGACCCTTTATCAAGCATTTCACTTCTCCTGCTCAAGGCAGTTCTAGCAAAATAAGCTTGAACTGTAAACGGTTTACAATTCCCAAAATTGCTTATAGGCGTCCTCGGTAGCTGAAACAATTCATCAAGACAAAAATACACCTTTAAAAGCTTATGCTTTTTTTTAATTCCCAAAAAAAAAAAAAAGCAAAATATTTTTTTACTTTCTGTAGGATCTAAGTCTGTATAAATAAAACTTTCTTTCACATATTAGATCTCTGAAATGCAATTTCCCTTCCTTCATCTGAGTAGGGGAAGAAGTAGAGGAGGAAAATTTCCTAGATGAACTGAATTTCAAAATTCACAAGATGAATGGAGGATGACAGACGAGTCTTCAGAGAACTAGATCTTGTAATGTGATTTCAAAGCAAATCAAATGCACTGTCAGTGTGGTTTTTTAATGGAAAGCTGGAATAGAGAACATTCAAAAGGAAATTCACAGGAAGCCACAAAAATGAGAATCACTATCTGGTACAAATAATGTAGCAATTGTTTGGACAAGTTTCAAAACACCTTCTATAAGTTATAAAAACCATATTTCATAAAATCAGAGCAAGTCTTTTATTACTACTTCTTCTGCAGTACAGATAATCAATCTATATGCTAACGTCTACGATATTTTTGCACTAATGTCATCTCAAGTCCTCTTTCCCCAACCTCAAAGCCTTCAATAGAAGTACATATGTGACACACATATACGTGCTCCAATAACACCTATGCCATAGCTGACATTTTATGTAAAAGGGACAGAAGTGAAAATTGTCCGCGTCAATTGAAAAGGAAATTTCAGGACTGAAGGTTCACTTTCAAATAAGGTGAAATCACTAAATTTGCCACCAAAGGAATTATTTTGACATGATCTTATCTCATGACTTTTTCAGAAAACACACAAAAAGTATTATAGGTAGCCCTGAATTTGATACTAAGTTTTGAATCCAGTTGCCTAAACACAGACAGCTCCTACCTTTTGACATTCCCTAGACTCCTGTCCAGTGTTAGAAGACAGTGGCACAAAATATGTGGGAGGCACTCATGCCTTTGAAGCAGCACCGTGGAAGAGACAAAATACTCTGCAGCATTAGAATCCCATACCTCTTGGAGTATATTAATTAAATATTTGTTGACTAATATGTGAATTTAGACACCTAGTGTCTCTGTACACATATAAATACTAAACTTACGTGTCTTTAAACTGAATCCCCGTATAATGTTCCATCAATGTTGTCAGTCAGCACAAATCCACAGCGCTTTGTTTATGTTCTTATTCATTATTCTACACCAGTGCAACTGAGATCGGGATTATATAAAATCTCGCTCTCAGTTTGTTGTGGGTGGGAAAAATACTGAAGAATTTATGGTGCCTGAAAATCTGTGAAGCCAAAGTGATAAACAGCAAGATACTGAGATGCTTAGTTTTGTACCAGATGGTGGAGTATTTAAAAATATCACAGATGAAACATAACTTCGGAATTTAAAGAGAATGGCAGTAATTTGCAAATAATTATGAGGGAAAAAGTTTAACAGACTTCTTAGGCCAAAGAAGTTACAAAAAACAACACTGAAAAATTAGCAATACTGTCATTGTCAGTGAATTAAGAGCCTTGGCTGGAAAATGAAAGTTAATTTACCTGTAAGGGAAGGAACTGAGCATGGACATATGACAAGCACTAATTCCAAAGAAATTTTAGGTGCAATAGGAGAGTAAACCTTAGAAGTATATCTTCAAGGCACTTGCATGTCTAAAGGACAAAAGTTCATAGGTCTGTCACATCAGACAAATATAGAATAAAAAATAAAAATAGAGAAGGTACTGAAAAGGCAATGACATGACAACTGCACTGAGCACTTCCTTACTTAAAAGATTTTGGAGTCATTGAACAAGATAAATGACAAAGGTATGACCACGGGATTAGTTGGGAAATACAAGGGAGAAGTAAACAAGCTCAAGTTGGCTAGGAAATAACCAAAGATCAGCAGTAATGGCCTAAAGACATTTAAAGACTGTAAACACTAACTTATAGAAGCATTTAGGATGATGTAACTAAGCACAATTTAATTCAACTGAAAAAGAAAAATTTAACTTGGTGTTAGGAAAACATCCTGACTGAGAGGTCTGTGGACCTCTTGTGGAAAAACTTTAGTACATTTAAAGCACAATTATCAAAAGCATTAGAAAAGTTCTGAAACTCTTTCTGTAAAATATGTTACATCTTAAAGGACAGAAATTCTTATAGCTATTCAGACATATCCATGCATAAGTTCAAATTTGTCATGCCATGACCTTCCCCCTCACTGGCAATATATGGTAACTAAAATCCTGAGAGGCAGCAAAAACGTTAGAAAGTACTTGCTGTACTCCAGTTAAGTGTTTTAGCCTTTCTCTGAGAAGCTGTTTATCATTCTGCCCCCAAACAACCTTTTATAACACCTCATTATACCTGTACTCATCTGCCAGCTGCTTCTCTTTTTCCTGCCCCTTTGGACACGTGGATCTGCCAGCTGGTCCTCTCCAGCAGGTCTGTTTGGAGCCTGGGCCTTACTCCTTTCTCTGGGACTTTCTTAAATGGTGGTAACTCAGGAGGTCAGAACAAGTGTCATCTCCTTTCCCCCCTCTGTTAAATAGCACAGCCCTGTAGGACTTC